CAAAAGGTAAAGTAGGAGAAGGAGCACAAAGGAACAGAAATGAACAGGAAGGAGCAGCAAGGAGCAGGAAGAGGCAGCAAGAAGCAGCAAGGTGCAGCAAGGAGCACAAAGGATCTGCAAGGAGCACAAAGGGTCTGCAAGGAGCACAAAGGATCAGGAATGGTCAGCAAGGAGCAGGAAGGGTCAGCAAGGAGAAGGAAGGTAAAGCAGCACAAAGGTAAAGTAGAAGAAGAAGAAATGCTCAGCAAGGAGCTGGAAAAGGCAGCAAGGAGCAGGAAGGGAAAGAAGGAGCACAAAGGTAAAGTAGGAGAAGGAACAGAAATGAGCAGGAAGGGACATCAAGGAGCAGAAAGGGTTAGCAATGAGCTGGAAGGGGCAGAAGGAGCACAAATGTAAAGTAGGAGAAGGAGCAGAAATTAGCATGAAGGGTCAGCAAGGAGCAGGAAGGGGCAGCAAGGAGCAGGAAGGGTCTGCAAGGAGAAGGAAGGGTCTGCAAAGAGCAGAAAGGGACAGAAGGAGCACAAAGGTAAAGGAGCAGAAAAAATCAGAAGGAGCACAAAGGTAAAGTAGGAGAAGGAGCAGAAAGGGCTTGCAAGGAGCAGAAAGGGATCAGAAAGAGAAAGGAGCAGAAAGGTGCAAAATAAGCAGAAAGTGGCAGAAAGGTAAAGGAGCAGAAGGAGCCAAGGAGGAGAGAAGACAGTGTCAAAATAAAAAGAAGACTGTGTCAAATGAAGGAGAAGAAAAGGAGATTGGAGCAGGAAGGACCACTGAAGTGAACCCTCCACTTTATTCTGAACACCACATCATAAGGCTTTGGTACCTGGGCCCGGCAGGGAAACTTTGGACCTTCTCATCTCCCCAGGTAAAAAAAAAAATATTTTTTACTGTAAGAACACTAAGGATATGGAATTATCTGCCTGAAGAAGTGATTTTATCAGAGTCTATACAGATGTTCAAACAGCAACTAGATGCATACTTGCAAAAACAGAATATTCAAGGATATAATTTTTCAATGTAGGGTAATAGCTTCTTAATCCAATGAATAATCTGACTGCCATTCTGGAGTCAATAAGTATTTTTCCCCCTAGTTTGTTACAAAATTGTAAGTGCTTAAAACTGTTTTGTTTTGTTTTTTGCCTTCTTTTGGATCAACAGCAAAAATCAAATGTGATGAAGGCTGAACTTGATGGATGCAAGTCTCTTTTCAGCGATGTAACTATGTAATACTATGTAATGTGTCATCTGGTTATTGGGAGGGGAAAGGGCTAATCATTAATCACTGTTCCAGTGCGGAGGATTCAACAGGGAAAGTCCTTGTAAGGACTAGAGCTCCCAGGACTGAGTGTCGTTCCAGTGCCTGGGGGGATAGAGCAAGTTCCCCATTCGGCTCCAGGAGAAAGCGGTTTCAGGACCCCAGTCAAGCCACGGAGACTGTGGGCAGAAGTGCTGCGGTTTGTCACCTGCTCCAGCTAGGAAGCAGTCCTTGTCGGAGGTACCCAGCCAGGGGCACAGGAAGCTCTGTTACATTGTTAAAGTATGAATGTAATTTCTCTGGGTCTATAACCATTTCCTATATGTAAATGCTGCATTTAATAATACAACAGGGGGGGTTGGGGGGGGGAATAAACAAGTATTTTCCATTTTGTAAAAGTTATATTATTGTACTCTGAAATATTCACATTCCCTCACAAGATCATATTTTCGGCACGGGATGAGTCTCCGGTGTCCTCAGTGATTCAAGCTTTGGAAGATAAAGGTGCCAATATAAAGGTTCCACCTTCTACAGGTTTCTTGAGCAACCACTTCTTGGTTTCCGAGAAGGGAGGAATGTTTCTAGTGATAAATCTTTGCCCTCTGAATGCATTTGTGACATATAACCCATTTCAAAATGGAGGGAATTCATTGCCTTTGATATATGCTCCTGTTATGAGACTGGATGGTCAAACTCAACTTGAAGAATAAATCCCACAAATGGGTCAGTGTTAAATAACCAAACAGTGGTAAGGAGGCAACAACCCTAAAAGGGGATCCCTCTCTACCCTATAAAAGAATGTCACAAAAAAAGGAGAAAAGGGCTGTGCCACAGGCAATCACAATAACAAGAGACAATGGGAAATAACAAGTATAAAACAAAATATAAAAAATATAGTCCTGTAACGAAAGCTGGTATGACAGATACCCGTTCGCCTATTTTCTCCCGAACTGCTAGAGCCTGAGTAATTATAGCTTGCAGTTCATGTGTTGATTTGAACGCTTCTCCAGACGAATTACAGCCTCCAAGTGTATTCTCCCAGAAAGGTAGACACTTACCCAAACATCAGTCAAAACAAGATGAAGGGTGTAACAGGAATGCTTTATTCAGGCTAACCGCCTGGCTTTTATGTAGTGAACAATGCACAGGGTTTCAGTAGACATATTCCAGGGGCATTCCCCACTGGACCTGAGAGGGGACAGTGACAAAAGACATTCTGTAAGTCCATTGGCTCTCAGGTCCAGGACACTCCTACATACAGTAATATAATCTTTCACTGTACTGGGGAGATAATTGAGTCAAGCAATTTACTAAACTCAATTATCTCCCAAAACAAAAATTATACATTTTCATAAAACTTAGAAAGTACCCCAAACACCATGGGAACCCCATAAAATACATATACCCTGATAGCCCCAATCTGGGTGATCAATATATTTAAAAATTACCCAGATTGGTTCAGGGGTTCAAAAATTACATGGAGGTCTAAATTTGGTCGGTCCATTTCGACAAGTACAAAACCCGAAATAATCCACAAACGGTTCCCCTGGCTCATAGGTAGCATTTGTTCCCCTAGTTCATGGGAACAAATCTACCGAATAGCGCTCTCTTGGCTGGTCTGTGAAAGGAAGCAGGTGTTCGTGAAGTTTGACCAGTGTTCGGGAAGTCGAGTGTCCAATTTTGGTTCCAGACACTAGACGACCAAGCACCACTGCCTCCTTTCGTGCGAACAAGATGGCCACCGTTTTCTCTTGCATGTGGCGTTCGACTATACGAACGTCGGCCACACAGGGTGGTCGGTGTTCGGTAGTTTTTTCTATCGAACAGGAAAAAAATGAAAGTACCAAAATAACAGGGGTAGTTTCTTCACAAGTCCTAACAATGAAAGGTCTTATATAAAAAGATGCCTCTAACTTAGAGGTAAGTGCAACTGTGGGTGCATGATAAAGCATATGTTCTTTGGACTTGGGGGGTGTAGTTGTTCTAATTGCTTAGGTATCCGTATAGAAAAAGGAGATAAAAAGCAGGGGAAACCAATAGTGCAATATGTCAAAACCCAATAATTAGATATCACACTCACATGTCAAAGAGCTCTAGCCAGCTCTAGCGCATGTTGCATAAAGTGGTGTCCAATTGTCTCTTGTTATTGTGATTTTCTGTGGTGCAGCCCTTCTCTCCTTTCAACTTGAAGAATGCACTATTCCTATTGCTAACAATTGTCAAAACTATCTTAAAATCCTTTGAAAAGGAACCAAGTGGCTTTTAACATGCCTGCTTTTCGGTCTCTCTTTGACCCCTTGCTGTTAAACCAAGCTGCTAAAACCAGTGGTCTCCTTTCTTCTCAGCAGGGGCATCTGCTTGATAATTTATTTGGACGACATACTCATAGCTCAGATTGCTGAATTAATTTATTGTCACTTGTCTTGGGCATTGACTCTACTCCAAATCTAGGTTTTCTGATCAACTGTGTTTTATCTATCGAACAGGAAAAAAACGAAAGTACCAAAATAACAGGGGTAGTTTCTTCACAAGTCCTAACAATAAAAGGTCTTACATAAAAACATGCCTCTAACTTAGAGGTTAGTGCAACTGTGGGTGCTTGAAAAAGCATATGTTCTTTGTACTTGGGGGGTGTAGTAGTTGTTCTAATTGCTTAGGTATCCGTATAGAAAAAGGAAATAAAAAGCAGGGGAAACCAATAGTGCAATATGTCAAAACCCAATAATTAGTTATAATCAGAGTAGCGAGATCACAATCACATGTAAAAGAGCTCTAGCCAGCTCTAGCGTATGTTGCATACAGTGGTTTCCAATTGTCTCTTGTTATTGTGATTTTCTGTGGTGCAGCCCTTCTCTCCTTTCAACTTGAAGAATGCACTATTCCTATTGCTAACAATTGTCAAAACTATCTTAAATTCCTTTGGAAAGGAACCAAGTGGCTTTTAACATGCCTGCTTTTCGGTCTCTCTTTGACCCCTTGCTGTTTCACCAAGCTGCTAAAACCAGTGGTCTCCTTTCTTCTCAGCAGGGGCATCTGCTTGATAATTTATGTGGACGACATACTCATTATGGCTCAGAATGCTGATTTCATATATTGTCACTTGTCTTGGGCATTGACTCTACTCCAAATATAGGTATTCAGATCAAATGTGAGAAATCAAGTACCCAATCGAGTGCATGGGATTCAATATCAACTCCCTTCAAGGAACTCTTTATCTACGAGACTCCAAGATCAAGAATATCAGGAAGGAAATTCATTGGGTGCTGTCTCGCCCTGTAATCACTCTATGACAACTTTTTAGGATGATCAGACTTTTATCAGCTGCATTCCAGTTCATTTTCCCAGGTCGTCTTCATTACCTTACCCTTCATGCCTCAAATCTACAAATTTATGCTTGGATCTCACCGACACAATTCCACTTGGCGGCAAAGCCAAGGAGGCACTCGGTGTCACCTTGTGTCTACAGTCACCCTAACCCGTTGGGTAAGATGGATCATGACATCGGCTGGCTTCCATACTGCAGTGTTTGGAAACACACTCTGCAAGAGCTGCCATGGCTTCTAAAGCCTTCACTTTGGGTTGCTGACTGAAAGATCTCCTGAAAGCAGCTGATTGGTCTTGCAATTTACCTATAGGGAGTTCTATTATTGTCCATCTACACATTTTATTTCTACTGTTATTTCACAGTTTTGAACTAGTGTAATGCTTGGTTGTATAGGGAGAGGTATTAGCAGTAGAAAGAGGGAAGTGCTCATGCCATTGTACAGAACACTGGTGAGACCTCACTTGGAGTATTGTACACAGTACTGGAGACCGTATCTCAGAAGGATATTGATACCTTAGAGAGGGTTCAGAGAAGGGCTACTAAACTGGTTCATGGATTGCAGGATAAAACTTACCAGGAAAGGTTAAAGGATCTTAACATATATAGCTTGGAGGAAAGACAAGACAGGGGGGATATGATAGAAACATTTAAATACATAAAGGGAATCAACACAGTAAAGGAGGAGACCACATTTAAAAGAAGAAAAACTACCACAACAAGAAGACATTATCTTAAATTAGAGGGACAAAGGTTTTAAAATAATATCATCTAGTATTACTTTACTGAGAGGGTAGTGGATGCATGGAATAGCCTTCCAGCTGAAGTGGTAGTGTCAGAATATTTATATCGGCAGACATTTTGTGCTAAGAAAGAAATTAAAAGTATATATTGCCAGAGTCACTCAGAACAGAGCAGACTCAATTTTGCTATCTTCAGGATAACAAAAACACATAATTTCCTTGATTTCACTAACCACTGAGCTTGAACTAAGGAATGCATTATATAAACACAGACACTAGTGACAGAGAAGACTAAGTAATTAATTTTACTTTCTAAATTTTACAAGGTTCCATTGTAAGTAAAGGGTGAAATTGAGTTTAGAACTGTCAACTTTACAAATTACGATCAAAGTAGTTGCCACAAAGACTGAGACAAACGCTTTGAACTGACAGCAAATCTAAGTTATGGTAGTCATTTTAGATAAGCCAAATGATGTCAAAATCGTCATCAGGAAAAGTTAACTCTTTCCTGGATAAGAAGGTTTAGTTAGGCAAGACTGCCCTCTTTGGATCAAATACCTAAATTGCGATCCATAGATTGAACACACCTACGGCTTCCTATTGGCTTATCAACTAATGACGTACAGAGAGTCTGGCCCTTTAAAAGTTAGGACAAAGGGAAGAGAGGTTAGTTGGTAGAGAGAGAGGAGTTGGAGTTTGGGAATTCAGATTCGGACATGCGGAGAGAGAGACTCAAGAAACATTCTCTGGGACTAACACTCTACTCTTAAACTCTCTTGGACACTCAACTCTTAAGCTCTTTGACACTTAGAATTTTACTCTGACTTTCTAACCAACACCACTTTTCTCTATCACTCACGCACCTCCATACAACCAATCAAGTTCCTGGGACTACCTACTCATCTGATGAGAATATCTACATAACTGGTAATTATGCTGGTTTTATTTAATTAATTTAAATTAATTTAAATTTACTAATAGCATGATATATGACTGGATAAATCACGGTCTGGTATCAATATTTAGAAATCTTAGTTAACTAAAGAATATATAGTTATAAACATTCCATTCTGCAGGTGGAATTAAGGATAATTATATATTAATGTGATATTATCACGTATTAGCATACCGCTGTTTTTATCCAGGTGTATTGATTTGCTCTAAAATAAGATAAGATATCTTTTTAGGCAAATTAAAATTCGTCTTTTGTAAAAATCTGGTAGATTATGCTTATTGGATGGTTCCAGGAAATGACTAATGAGCTGGTTTGAATGTTATTTTAATTGAAAATCACAGGAGAATAGGATACTATATGCCTAGGAGGATCTAGCCAGCATTGAAAGGGTTACTCAGTTGATTTAACTGTTAGCCAAGGTTTTATGGCTGTTCGCTGTGAAAAGCTTTACTTTTGTCTATAAAGTACCCTCATAAATATTAAGTGACAGATGATGCTGTTAGCCATTGGAACGTGTATAGCCATTCCATTGTATTGCATACTTATGTTATACTAAATATTCACTGATTATTATCATGCATGCTGCCTAATATTATTTGTTAATTAATTTGTTACAATAAATAAATCTATTTTTATAACACATTGTGATCTTAATTGTATGGAAAACATTTCACTTATTTGATAAACGATCTCTAAGATCTAAGAGTATTGAAATAGTGGGCAATTCTCGACAGTTTAATATTATCATCCCATAAATATCCCCACAGTAGAGGTGAACACAGTAAAGGAGTTTAAGCATGCGTCGGATAGGCATAAGGCTATCCTAACTATAAGAAAAGGCCCGGGACTAATGAAAGTATTTAGAAAATTGGGCAGACTAGATGGGCCGAATGGTTCTTATCTGCCGTCACATTCCATGTTTCTATGTTTCTATGTAATATGAACCTCTGTGTTTTTTAAAGGAAAACTATAGGGTCAGGAACACAAACATGTATTCCTGACCCTATAGTATTAAAGCCACCATTTAGGTGGCTGGTCCCCACTTAGCCCTCTTTAAAGGTTTAAAAACTTACCTTATTTCCAGCGCCGCGCGGGTTCATAGGCGCTGACCCTGCCCATGATTTGCCTCCTTGCTGACATAATCAAAATTTATGATTTTTAGCCAATCTAATGCTTTCCAACAGGGAAGGAGGCGGAACGGGGTGGGCCAAATGCCAGCTTGGCCAATCAGCGCCTCCTCATAGAGATGCATTGAATCAATGCATCTCTATGAGGAAAATTTGGCGTCTCCATGCAGAGCGTGGCCATCTCAGTTGCCATCTGAGGAGTGGCCAGTGTAGGTGTCCCTAGGGGGCAATGTAAACTTTCTGAAAAGGCAGTGTTTGCAGGAAAATACCTGAGGTGAATGATTATACTCAACAGAACAATTACATTAAGCTATAGTTGTTCTTCTAACTATAGTGTCCCTTTAATAAATTTACAACATTTTATTATCAACATAAGTTGAAGTAGTGATTTAATTAAAGACACAGAGGCAAATATCTGCCCACTTGGCTTTAACGTTCTTTTTTCCAGCCGTTTAATACTATTACACTTTGTATTACGATGAGTTTATGTATTTTGACATGTACATTTGTCCTTTATGTGATACAATTATGTGATTGTATATATGGTTGCTTTAGATGTTTTTTAGATTATCTCATGTCAATAATACTCATGAATACTGTAATACTGTGATTTGTGGTCTTGTTCCTACATATTTCTTCCTATTTTAACACATATTTTTCTTTTTTTTCTGATTGAGGCCTTGGTTCTGGTATGCACAGACCTGCTTTTCTTCCGGTCTTCCCATACTTGCTTTGTTGAATTTCCTTCTCTTCATCGCCGGGGATTATTGTTACTTATGCTTATATCTGCAATTTTTTGCTATATTATTTGGTGACATCATCAAGAAAGAGGAATGGCTTAGGGTCACCAGGGATATGGGATGTTCTCATTGGCTACTGTAATTTTTATGGTTACCCCTTGCTAGGGTTATTGTTTTTGGCTTCCTATTGATTATATAAATTTTTTTCCTTGCTGCTAGATAAGGATAATATTCTGTTATGTGTCTTTAATAAAATCGTTACTTTCGATCTTGTTAAATGTGAAATCTGGTAATTATCAGCCCCATTTCCCATTTATAAATGTATGTTTTTTTAATGGAAACACTTCAGTTGCAGCTGATTGTGCAATTTAAAAATAAAACTTATACATGGGTTATAAATGTTCGATATCTTCATATCTTACTTTATTATGTATTTTCTTATGTATAATGGGCACATGTTTCATTAAAACACTTGTATATATATAGCTCAGTTCTCTTTTTGCTTCAGATATTATCTGAGTTGAACAAAACTCACACCAATTACTTTGGACTTGGAAACATTAACTGGAACAGTGAGATCTTTCTTTAAGGTCCTGCATTACATGCTTCTACTCAATAGATTAATTTGTGCAGAGCTTAGAATGTGCCTATTGAAAATGAATATTTGGCACAGGAAGGCATCTCCAAATTTTCACCTTATTGTGAATCATTTATACACTAACTTATTAAGTCAAGTCTCAAGTAAGTTCTTCCATGTTTTTTTTTACTATGAATACAATAAAAAATTAATTTCCCACATCCAATTAAAAATGATAGATTACTGGTAGAACAGTGTTCACCAAATCTACCAGTGCCAGCAAAAACACAACTAATTTCTATTATTATTACAAATTTCCATAGAAGAGTTAGGCAAACTGAACTACTCTTCGCACTATTCTAGCATTTGTTTGCCTACCTATGTACTAGAACTACTTCTCTTTGACCAGAAAGGTTGAGTCTTGATCCACCAAGTGCAACCATTTAAGCCAGGCTTTGACATTGTAGAGTAAGCATGACATCAGTCACAGCTAGCCACACAAATCACGCACGGCTACCCACATATTACTCAATCCCACACATCATGCACTGCCACACAAATCACTCACAGCTACTCACATCACACATGGACTACCACATACAGTATACATTCAGCCACCTAATACACACTCAAAACACATGCATCACACAGCTGCCATACTTAGTCACTACACTCATACACAACACACGGTCATTCCCCCCACACACAGTCTTCACACACACACCTCACTGTTTTGGCAATTTGACAATTTCCATGGACTTGTGCCATACCTGATCTTCTCCTGCTTTGGACCCAGATGTCTTCATAGAACTAAAACGCGAACTGTGAGAATAGACCAGAAAGAAAAATAAGTTATATTAGATTTAGCAAATTATATCAACACCCAGTTCAGTCTAAGTATATTCAGGGCTAACATTGCAAATGAGGAGGAGAATTTGAAACATTGTTTCATGTTTCCTCTTCTCAATATATTGTTATTATTATTATTGGTATTTATATAGCGCCAGCTTATTCCGCAGCGCTTTACAATAAAAGAGGAATTTACCAAATTAGACAATAACAAAATGTAAGAGGAACAATAGGTAGTTGAGGACCCTGCTCAAACGAGCTTACAGTCTAGAGGAGGTGGGGTATAAAAACACAATAGGAAGGTTATTGAGAGAGACAGCACATAGACATGGTGGGAAAGTAGCAGAACTGGAGGTGAGAGTGGAGTGTGGCCATATCGGAGAGAGCGAGGGGAAGAGAGTCTGACAGGGGTAGGCAGACTGTTCCAAAGGAAAGGAGCCGTCCGTGAGAAGTCTTGCAGGCGTGAATTTGCAGTAAGGGTACGGGCAGCAGAAAGGAGAAGGTCACTAGTAGAGTGGAGAGACCAATAAGGGGCATACCTATGCATCAGTGAAATAAAGTAAGAGGCGCTAGAGTTGGTTAGAGCTTTATAGGTATACTTTCTGCAACAATGACTGGATGGAGTCACCCAGTTGAAATTTAAAGATGTGTGAATTTCAATACGTAGTTTTATTTTTTCACATTTCACCAATACATACTTGTTAGGGGACACATAGACATAGTATTATAAATCATTAGAAGTGATAGTTTCCCTTTAAGTTATAATTTAAAATATTGGGCCACCTACTGGTTCAGTATGGTATAGATGACATTGACAGGTTGTTGCTAGCATTTTTATTCCATTGCTGTTCCATCGCTACCTCCGATGACTGCTTACACACAGGATATGTTTATTGAAAGACAAAAACGTATGCAAAACTGCTCCGGTTTTCGTAAATACTGCAACATCTCATTTGCCATTCCAAATATTACAAAATATGCAAAAACATACCACCAAATAATAGGTTGCAATTATGTAAAGAACATCCTTTTGACTTTTGTATTTGTTCTGCTTTACAATAAATAAGGTATTCATTTTAAGGTATCTTGATTCTGCAATACTAATCACAAACTGGCTTATTCACTAAAGGGAGAATTGTTGGGAATTCGAAGTGAATTGAAAATAATTATAAAATTTAAGGCCAAAATTACTGAACAGGAAAAAAACCTCCAAGTCTGCTACAGTTGCAGTTTTGCAATTTAAAGGATTGCTATAGTGTCAGGAAAACAAAGCGGTTTTCCTGACACTATAGTGCCCTGAGGGTGCCCCCACCCTCAGGGTCCCCCTCCCTTAGGGTCCCCCTCCCGTGGCGTTGAAGGGGTTAAAACCCCATCAGCAGCTTACCTTAATCCAGCGCCGGGCTCTCTCAGCGCTGGTGACCTCTCCTCCCCCGCCGATGTCAGCTCCCCCAGCCGACGTCAGCAGAGCTGAATGCACATGCGCGGCAAGTGCCGCGCACGCATTCAAAGTGTCCATAGGAAAGCATTTCTC